ATAACTATTATCAATGCATTACTCGGCCGAAGAATAGATTCAGTGTGTAAATAAATTTTTTATTTTTCGAATTTGAGTTTTATTCAATTCCTACATGAATGAGGATTTTATACATGACTGTTCTTTGTTCAGGGACAGAGACACCCACAAATGGCTACATTTTGGTTCATGCAAATGGAGGACTAAACCAGATGAAGGCAGGGGTGAGTGAACATTGACATGCCTTTGCATTTTTTTTTCTCTTTTTTTTCATTCCTTTGGACAATGCAAGCTGAACCTTAATGCTAGCTTTCAATTTCAGATATGCGATATGGTTGCGATTGCTAAAATTATGAATGCCACTTTGGTTCTTCCTTCTCTTGATCACGACTCATTCTGGACCGATCCTAGGTAACATCCTTAGCCCTCCCACATAAGCCGAGTATAGATAGATAAGAAACTCGCATATGAACCAATTATACATGCTTTCCTTGTAATAATTTGTATTTATATTACAGTGGTTTCAAGGATATATTTGATTGGAGACACTTTATAGAGGTGCTGAAAGATGATATTGAGATAGTTGAGTCTTTACCTTCAGAGTATTCAGGAGTGAAGCCATTGTCAAAGGCACCAGTGTCCTGGTCAAAGGTCTGAATTAGAAAAGTATAGATAAATAGATTTAAAGAACTGGCTGGAGCTGAAATTGATTCCATCCTCCTTTCCTTTTCGTTCTTTGTGCAGGCTAGTTACTATAGAAAAGAGATTCTTCCTGTTCTAAAGAAGCGTAAAGTCATCAAGTTTACACACAGCGATTCAAGGCTCGCCAACAATGGCCTAGCTTCCTCTATTCAGAGGCTCCGTTGTCGTGCAAACTATAAGGCTCTTAAATATACCCCTGAGATTGAGGAGCTTGGAAAGAGATTGGTGGATAGATTAAGGGACAACGGCGAGCCGTATATCGCACTTCATCTGAGGTATAGTTTTGCATAGTTTTTGTTAGCTAGTTCATTCCCGCTTTTAGCATCTGTCAATTGTGGCAATGACACTTCAGTATCTTTCTATGAAGAATTTCTCTTAATCATTTCACTATTGTGATAAAAACACTTGGTGCCCATCCTTGAATATTTCACTTTTGGTCCTATAATTACTAGGACTAAAAGACTTCATACTTGATTTCAAGACAACGGTTGGAGAACCCGAACTTTGTCATATTAGTTGGCAGACATTAATTGGAAGGGTAGCATTTGGATAGAATCAGCAACATACTTACATACCAATTAAGTGTGTGCTTGAGAAGTGTTAGTCACATTCCTACAATGGTTACAGAAGTAAATGTTCTTAATACGCTCGCTAGCAACCCAAGATTCTTAATTCTGTGTTATATTTTTAAAATTAAAGTTTCCCAAACTAATGACCTTTGATTATAAATTGCCTTTAGGTATGAAAAGGACATGCTTGCATTCACTGGATGTAGCCACAACCTAAGTGCATCAGAGGCAGAAGCGCTTCGTACGATGAGATATAATGTGAGACATTGGAAGGAAAAAGAGATAAACAGCGCTTTAAAGAGACGGCTCGGGGGTTGCCCAATGACACCTAGGGAAGCTGCCATGTTTTTAAAGGCAATGGGGTATCCCTCAACTACTAGGATATACATTGTTGCAGGGGAAATTTATGGTAACAGCAGCATGGACGGGTTCCGTTCGGAGTACCCCAACGTGTTTTCTCACTCTACGCTCACAACTGAAGAGGAGATGCAGGGTTTTGAGCAGTACCAGAACCGTCTGGCTGCCTTGGATTATATTGTGGCACTTGAGAGTGATGTGTTTGTTTATACCTATGATGGAAACATGGCTAAGGCAGTTCAAGGGCACAGGATGTTTGAAGGTTATCGTAAGACCATTAGCCCCAACAGGTTTGTTTGAATTCTTCCCTAGATACCACTTGTTAACACAAATCCATGCAATAGATATCGCTAAAAGGGGCAAATATTCCCTTGTCATTTTGATAAGACACTTTTCGGGCACATGACAACACTATAATAGTATAATGTATGGGCTAACGCTTATAATGTATGGGCTAACGCCTAACGCTACGCTTTTAAGTTTGAATTCATGATCTTTCGGGCACACGACGACACTATAACGCATGCGCTAACGCCTAACGCAACGCTTTTAAGTTTTTCTCTAACACTACATAAATTATTTATATTTCATTTCAGGCACAAATTTGTTCACATGATAGATTTGTTGGATAAGGGTGCCATATCATGGGAAGATTTTTCCAAGGAGATCAAAGCCCAACATTCTCATAGGCTCGGAGCTCCGAACCTAAGACATGTAGGAGAGTCGCCAAGAACAGAAGAGAATTTCTATGCCAATCCATTTCCAGGGTGTATATGTGATAGGTCTCGAGAGCAAGCTAGCAGGCTTGAGAAATCTCAAACTAAACCAGGAGTAGTAGTAAATGGTGCTTCTCAAAGATAGAATTTTTAGTTTTTCCCTTTTTTACTAAAAGGGGTAGGATTGTAAATTGCCAATACAAGCGAGGTCGAGGAAGCCGGAAGAAGTCAAGAGGTTCTTCCTACGGATTTTGGTCGCCAATGATGTTTGTACACGGATGGAGGGGTAGAAATGGAATAGATCAACATAAAGAAATAGCGCGGAAATGATTTGTGGGTGCGAAATGTTTATTCTTTTATTTATTTTTGCTTCTTCTTTCGTTTATAGCGGGCTTATTAGTTAGTTAGTTTTTCAAAAAGTTTCAAAGTATTATTACTAGTAATAATTATTTAGAGATGATTTTTCAACTCCGACGCTCATCATTTATCATTCATCAACTACGGAGTACCTTTTTAGTAAAGTACGGAGTATTCCGTGTTAATCCTTCCATTCTAATTTATTCGTTTTCACACTAAAAAAGTTTATACAAATATGAACCGAAGATATTACTGAAATACTCCGTAACTGATTTTTAAAAACACAAGACTAAATATACTTAGAATATAATCATTGTTAATGAAATTTAGAAATAAAATATAAATATAACTTCTGTAAATCAGTTTTTAGTCATAAATTTATCTATTAATAATACATTTCAAAGTTATAGTTAGGGAAAACATTGTCACATGTCATCTCCACATTTTTAATTGTTTTAACGTAACTTTAACTTTCATATTAAACAACTTTACCTAGACTAGAAAGAGAGCATTGCGGTTGCTCAGATAATTGTTGGTTAGTGTAATCTCTTAATTCTGTTTCTTCATATATATCTTCGACATGCCACTTTATTATCTCTATATTATAAAGCAAAATAAGTATCCCGTCTAAATTTGTGATATTTTCAGATGAGTGTGTTGTGTAACTGGATGCTTACAAGGTATTATGGTTGTGCCTAACCCTCTTTTTTATGCGACTTTTTTATGCGACTGATTTGGACTGATTTATGTTTCTTCATATTTATCTTCGGCATGCCGCTTAATTATCTAAAAAACTTCCGTCTAAAGTTGTAAACTTACCTTCTTATTGCAAGATTTCCGAATATGGGCAAGAGTTAGGGAAAATTATGTTGCTATGGTTTTAGAACTTCTTTTATGATAGATTTGGTCATTTTTCTGCTATCAATATGATGAACACAGCTTTAGATTATGAGTTTTTTCGGTTTTGTATTTGTTCTCCATTTTCTTTCTAATTCTTTGACAACAGAGAGCAATGGATTGTCTTTTTTCTTTAACTTCACAAGAACTTGAAGGAATAACCAAATTCTAAATATTACTACCCCTACCCTACTGTGAAAATCACTAAGGCACCCATCCTTCTTCCAAGCTATCTTAATATACATTGCAAGGTAGATATATGATCTGTTCCAAATTTAGTCCCTACTCGCCAGGTCATTATCCAGCATGTCATTATGGGATTCTGCATTTAAAAAACCATAAAGTTTTTCTTTCTTTTTGATCTATGATTTGAGAACACTAAGATTAAAAGAAGTAAAAAAATACAGTTTTCTCTTTTATATATTCTGCAATTATATTCTTTCTTTTTTATATTATTATTTTTCCTTTATATCCTCTCTTCATGTGGTGAGACTGCTATTGAAACTTCACTTTATTTTTTTTACCCAACATCTTATTTAGTCCATGTACAAGCTTAGTTAAATGTTGAGTTTTTTCACTTAACAAAGTGCAGTTTTGATATTATCACCATGTTGAGCATTGTGAAGGAAATGCAATTTTTTTGTTTGTTTTTGGATCATCATTTGAGAACACCAAAATGACAGTGTGTTAAAATGACTATTTTTAATTACTTTAGTACATTATGCTGGCAACCCGTGAATAACTACAGTTTCATACTCCCTCCGTCTCATAATTATCTTCATTCTTTCCTTTTTGGTCCGTCCCAAATTTATCTCCTCTTTCCCTTTTTAGCAAAGGATTTGTGGTTCACAATCATTCTTACACATTTCTCTCTCCTCTGCACAATTCTCCACCACACATTTCCCACTTTCTTAATATGTGTGCCAATTCAAAAGAGGAGTTATTTATGGGACGGAGGTAGTACAAATTACCATATTTTGATATCACATGATTGATTGGGGGGTTTTGTGCCTGTTCCAGACTTTCAGTGCCAATCATGTTCTTCGGACTCACTCACTTTTACTCAATTTCTTCTTTTCCTCAGCTTTAATTAGAGCTGTCAAACGGCCCAACCCGACCCGACCTGTAACGGTGTTGGGATATATTATCCCGGCCTATTACTGTTCAGGAGCCCAAGACATTACCCAGTACGGAGCCCGAGCAGATAGGCCCATTTCGGCCCATTAGGCCCAATATTGGCCCGTTTGGCCCATTAGGGTGGAGAGCACCCTTTCCCCTTTGTCTATAAATAGGGAGTTTAGCCTCCAAATTATGGATCTTTTCTTCTTCCTCCTTCTCACTAGAATAGCTTAAAACTCCATTAATGGGAGCTTCAATACTTGTACTATGTAATGGTGAGGAGAGACTAATGAGAATGAGAGGGCTTGGACATTAGCCTAAAAAGTCCCGTGGTTTTCTCCCTTTCGGGTTTCCACGTAAAAACTGAGTGTTCATACATATATTTACTATATCGTGTTGGATTAAACTCAACACTGGCGCCGTCTGTGGGAATCTGTCCAAAAAGATTCGTGTGTTCTACCGTTCTTGAGTTTTTTCTACAAAAATTCATACGAAGTGGACTGATTTCACCAAAAAAGAAGAAAAATTTTACAAAAAATGATTCTGAGAAAAGAAGAATATACAGATCTGGTTTCTTCACATCAGGAACATCCCAACCTTTGCCGGAAACTGCCAGGGCCGCCGGGAATCGCCGTAACCGTCCATGTTACGTCGGCACCATCAACTGAAGGTCGCTGCTCACTGGACCTCACTATGGCAGCTTGAAAGTGACTGGTGCCGCCTCAGATGGTTATCATCGTCTGCAGTAAACCAGGAGCTATGGTTTCCGACACTCTTCGCGGTATTTACGGTCTTTTGCCTCCGTTACGAGGTCGCCGGTCACCGTTCACGGCTAGCTTATCCACCTCGCTGCCAACCTAAGCTTCCTTGATTTCCGACATTAATGGCGACTTGGATTTCTCGAGAGCCAAATATCTGACCGGGGCTGATCCCTCGCCGAAGACAAGCCTCCATGGCCGCCGTTGAGCTGCCATGGCTCCATTGCTACCGTCAATCAGGGGCCGAACGATACTGCCCTTCCTTGGTGGGGTGTTCATTTGCCTCTCCACAAGATGCTCCTCACTTGGCTGAGAGCAGGCCACGTACAAAGGCCGAAATCCAAGAGTGGAATTAGCAACAAAGACAGAGCAGCAAGCATTATTTTGGGCGGTCACCGTACGTAGCAGGACATTATTTGGAGTGTGTTGACTCAGTCAACAAGCAGAACATTATTTGGACAACTCTTCCATAGTTGCTTCTCGGCTAAAGGGCACGACTTCAAAGCTAAGTATTTTAATTCCATCATATGCTAATTAAACACTTTAGTAGTGAAAACTCGAAGTATTGCTAGTATATTATCCCATTATTTAATAGGGATTAAAATGTCCCAGAATTAAATAGTGAGAGCGATGCTCAAAGTGATAATTAGTTTCACCGTCATTTAAATTTAATGACTGGTTGTTGTGTGCCTGTTGGCCCGCTCCTGATCGGCTTTAATTAGCGAACGGAGTATACTTGAATGGCCTTTGATAGGGAAGTATCATTGCTATTACCGGTTATGTCACTATTATTTATTAGGGATAAAATGTCCCGAATTAAATAATGCTGAGCGAGGCTCAAGTGATGGTTAGTTCAACTAACATTTTATTAAGTATTTGACTTCTTGTGGCCCCGATGGCCCACTCTCGATCAGCTTGATTTGCGATCTGAGCGTCTCCAGAGGGTAGTGCCCCGATGACGCGTTTTAATTTGGGGGGTTACGCATTAGTCCGCACGACACCGAGTGCTCGAGCGACGATCGTACCCTGGTACCATCTACGCCATCAGGCGCAGAGTGACTATTGCCAACGCGGCCTGTGGGGCCCGAAGGCACCAAAGCACTCAACCTCGTTTTTCCGGGGGCGGTGCGACCAACTTGGGTCTGAGTTTGAAAACTCACAGACCGATGAATATTTCTATGTGACGTCCGGCGGGCTGCTAATTGGCCCCGCCGCGAGCTGCTACGTCCATTAATCCCGCACGATGAGCCGGGCCGAGGGTCACGATGACCCATAGGCCGGTAATCGTGGGTGTTAGAGAGAAGGCCATGCAGATGGTTATGTGTGCATATTTATTGTCGGGCCGTGTGGCCCATTATCATGCTTATTGCGTAGCTGAAGCCACTCGGCGCGCTGGAGCGAAATGATTAGAAGACGCTCGGCCCGAGTCTTGAAGACGTGCAGGGCCGGCTAAAGAGGAGACCATCACGGCTGAGGACCGTGAGACGAGCATCTCCACCTAGAGGCCGAGGGCCTAGAGGAGACCACCACGGTTGAGAACCGTGGGACGAGCATCTCCACCCCAGAGACCGATGGCCTAGGAAGAACACCTAGAGGCCGAGGGTCTAGAGGGAACTGCCACGGCGAAGAACCGTGAGACGATCATCCATCATCCAGAGGCCGAGGGCCAAGAGGAAACCATCACGGCTGAGAGCCGTGATACGAGCATCTCCACACCAGGAGCCGGTGGCCTAGAGGAGACCACTACGGCCGAGAGTCGTGGGACCATCCTTACATCACGACCGACCTCACAGTACGGCGTGTTTATCACCTGAAGACCGGTATCATCCCCGCGCTGCGCGGATGAGAGCCGTTGCACGGATACACTTGATCGGCCTCTCATTGCCGACATCATTATATCACGACCGGCCTCTTGGCACGGCGTGTTTATCTTATTTGAAGACCGGCCTCGTCCCCGCACTGCACGGATGAGGACCGTTGCTTGTTTTCTCATATCGGCCTCTCATTGCCGACACCGTTATATCACGACTGGCCTCCCGGCTCGGCGTTCTTTCCATATTTGAAGACCGGTTTCATCCCCGCTCCGCGCGGATGACGGTCGTTGCTTGTTTTCTCATATCGGCCTCTCATTGCCGACACCGTTATATCACGACCGGCCTCCCGGCTCGGCGTTCTTTCCATATTTGAAGACCGGTTTCATCCCCGCTCCGCGCGGATGACGGCCGTTGCTTGTTTTCTCAGATCGGCCTCTCATTGTCGATGTTATTATATCACGACTGGCCTCCCGGCACGGCGTGTTTATCTTTTGAAGACCGGCCTTGTCCCTGCCCCTCGCGGACGAGGACCATTGCTTGATTCTTTCAGGTCGGCCTCTTACTGCCGACACTATCATGTTATGTTCGGCCTCCCGGCACGACATATTTATCTTTTGAAGACCGGTTTCATCCCCGCGCTGCGTGGATGAGAGCCGTTGCTTGGATATATCGGCTTGATCGGACACTATTGTCATCTCCTTATCAGGACCGACTGCTCAGCGACATTATGATCATTATATATCGGCTCCCGGTGCCGACCTTCTTGAGTTAGCGATCGGGCTCACCCCTCCCCTCCAGGAGGGTGACCATCGCCTTCGCATGACGACCAGCATTTCCATCGCCTCGTCATCCGCTTCATTTTGGTATCCCACCACCATTACGTGTGACATCACTTGTGGTCTTTCTTGGAAACCGACGAACGTATTTTCCTCCCTCAAAAAAAAAAAAAAAAAACAAAAAAAGAAAGAAAAAAAAAAGATGGGGAGAAGGGGAGAGAGAAGCTCCTATGAGAGAGGGAGTCTTGACGAGGTATGCCTGATCTTCCTTCGCCGCGTATGACGAACGTCTCCCGACGCGGAGGCTAGTAGGAACGTGGGGGGGGCTAGACGTACCAAAGGGAACCTCGGCAAGATAAACCAGTTCCTCCCATGACCCGTGGTTCGACGAACACCTTCTGCCAGAGCAGAAGGCTAGTAGGGCCACGAGCATGGGACGACGAAGCAGGGAATCCCGACGTGGATAAACCGGTTCCTCCTTGCGATCGTTGGATGACCGAACGTCTTCTTCGAAGTAAGAAGATTAGTAGGACCACGACAGGGACGAACGAAGAATAGGGAATCCCGACGTGGATAAACCTGTTCCTCCTTGCGATCGTTGGATGACCGAACGTCTTCTTCGAAGTAAGAAGGTTAGTAGGACCACGACAGGGACGAACGAAGAATAGGGAATCCCGACGTGGATAAACCTGTTCCTCCTTGCGATCGTTGGATGACCGAACGTCTTCTTCGAAGTAAGAAGGTTAGTAGGACCACGACAGGGACGAACGAAGAATAGGGAATCCCGACGTGGATAAACCTGTTTCTTCTCATAGTTGGGATGACGAACGTCTCCTGCGAAACCAGGAGACCAGTACTCACGAGACTTGGGAAGAACGAAGAACCAGTTCTCCACCGGAGTCTGTTGCGTACCGAGTGTACACCGCTTAGCGGTCCGTACATAGGACCACGGATACGGTAGACGAACGAAGACCAGCTCCATGGATCAGACACGAAGGACCAGTTCTCCACCGGAGTCTGTTGCGTACCGAGTGTACACCGCTTAGCGGTCTGTACATAGGACCACAGATACGGTAGACGAACGACGATCAGCTCCCCAGATCAGGTAGGAGGGACATCGCCCAGATTTATTTCAGGCTCACCATTCCTCCCGGATGGAGTCCTGGCAGATGATCGGCTTCTCACAGCCAATCAGGAGAGAGACTTGACACATCACCAGCACGGCCGAGGGCCGTGAGACGATTATCGCTCACCGACAGGCCGAGGGCCATGAGATGATCATCACTATTTTTCTGTATCACGATCGGCCACTCAGCGCCATCGTGTCCAGATTCACGGTTCGACTCGCCCATTTCCCTACAGGATGGCGACGACCGTCTTATGCAGTACGATCGGCCCCTCAGCGCCATCGTACCCAGCTCACGTTCAGCTCGTCCATCCCTTCCAGGGTGGCGACGAACGTCTTATGCATCACGATCGGCCCCTCAGCGCCATCGTGTCCTGATTCACGGTTCGGATCGCCCATTTCCCTCCAGGATGGCGACGACCGTCTTATGCAGTACGATCGGCCCCTCAGCGCCATCGTACCCAGCTCACGTTCAGCTCGTCCATCCCTTCCAGGGTGGCGACGAACGTCTTATGCATCACGATCGGCCCCTCAGCGCCATCGTGTCCTGATTCACGGTTCGGATCGCCCATTTCCCTCCAGGATGGCGACGACCGTTTTATGCAGTACGATCGGCCCCTCAGCGCCATCGTACCCAGCTCACGTTCGGATCGTCCATCCCTTCCAGGGTGGCGACGAACGTCGTATGCATCACGATCGGCCCCTCAGCGCCATCGTGTCCAGATTCACGGTCGGATCGCTCATTTCCCTCCAGGATGGCGACGACCGTCTTATGCAGTACGATCGGCCCCTCAGCGCCATCGTACCCAGCTCACGTTCAGCTCGCACATTCCCTCCAGGATGGCGACGAACGTCTTATGCAGTGCGATCGGCCCCTCAGCGCCATCGTACCTGGCTTCACGGTTCGGCTCGCACATTCCCTCCGGGATGGCGACGACCGTCTTATGCAGCACGATCGGCCCCTCAGCGCCATCGTGTCTCTTTCACGTTCGGATCACGCATCCCCTCCAGGATGGCGACGAACGTCTCATATGCAGCACGATCGGCCCCTCAGCGCCATCGTGTCTCTTTCACGATTCGGATCGCGTATCTCTTCCAGGATGGCGACGAACGTCTTATGCAGTGCGATCGGCCCCTCAGCGCCATCGTACCTGGCTTCACGGTTCGGCTCGCACATTCCCTCCGGGATGGCGACGACCGTCTTATGCAGCACGATCGGCCCCTCAGCGCCATCGTGTCTCTTTCACGTTCGGATCACGCATCCCTCCAGGATGGCGACGAACGTCTCATATGCAGCACGATCGGCCCCTCAGCGCCATCGTGTCTCTTTCACGTTCGGATCGCGTATCTCTTCCAGGATGGCGACGAACGTCTTATGCAGTGCGATCGGCCCCTTAGCGCCATCGTACCTGGCTTCACGGTTCGGCTCGCACATTCCCTTCAGGATGGCGACGACCGTCTTATGCAGCACGATCGGCCCCTCAGCGCCATCGTGTCTCTTTCACGTTCGGATCACGCATCCCCTCCAGGATGGCGACGAACGTCTCATATGCAGCACGATCAGCGCCCCAGAGCCATCGTGTCTGGCTCGTGTTCGGCTCGCCCATCCCTTCCAGGATGGCGACGAACATCTCTTATACAGCTCGATTGGCCCCTCGGCGGCATCATGTCTAGTTCACCCCCGGCTCCGCCCATGCCATCTCGGATGGGGGACCCGTCGTATGCAGCATGATTGGCCCCTCGGCGCTGACAGGCCCGGGTTATCGATGAGAGCTACTGCTTCTATCACATCTTGCATTCCCTCTCTCATACATTACATACATACATTACATGCATACATACATTCATGCATCATACCTCATACATTCATACATACACACGTGCATCATGTTTTGACAGTACCGCGACGTCGGTTCGTGGATGTATGGACCTCTAAGCTTCTCCGACTGGAAAGCTCGAGTCAGAGTCCTTTGCTCCCGCCTGATGCATTTAGGCGGAGTGTACCCGTGGAGGAGCACCCTTCGCCCGACCCTGTCGGGAAGGGGGGTGCCTCACTGGTAGATTACGTTCAAGAGTGCAGACACTCACTCATATATGATGATTACGTGAAGACACAGTTTCCAGTAAGACAGAGGAAGAGCGCAGGCAAGAGTATACTTTCTCGAGCAGATTCGCACGCTCACTACTCAAGAAACTGGGGGACTTGTGTTGGGATATATTATCCCGGCCTATTACTGTTCAGGAGCCCAAGACATTACCCAGTACGGAGCCCGAGCAGATAGGCCCATTTCGGCCCATTAGGCCCAATATTGGCCCGTTTGGCCCATTAGGGTGGAGAGCACCCTTTCCCCTTTGTCTATAAATAGGGAGTTTAGCCTCCAAATTATGGATCTTTTCTTCTTCCTCCTTCTCACTAGAATAGCTTAAAACTCCATTAATGGGAGCTTCAATACTTGTACTATGTAATGGTGAGGAGAGACTAATGAGAATGAGAGGGCTTGGACATTGGCCTAAAAAGTCCCGTGGTTTTCTCCCTTTCGGGTTTCCACGTAAAAACTGAGTGTTCATACATATATTTACTATATCGTGTTGGATTAAACTCAACAAACGGGTTATGCTTTATGTGGGTTGGGTCGGGCCAACCCATTTAATGACGGGTCAGAAATTCTACAACCCTAACCCAACCCACCTAACCCGTGGGTTAAACGGGTTGGCCCGCGGGCCAATGTAAAAAAAATATAAAACGATTTTTTAAAAAATAATAATTACCCGGAAGTATATATTTATATTAGCAAGTAGTAACAAAGGAAATATAAGAATTCAAAATACTAAAAATTCAATACTTGTTAAAATTAATTAAAAAATATTAAATACTAGTTATACGAGAATTTGAAAACTATAAGAGGCTATGTGACAAAAATAATCATTGTATAAAAATAAAGATTTACATAAAACTTTTGATTAATTATTTGCAAATAATGACTACTAATTGTTAAATATTGTATCGAACTTCACAAAAATATATGTTTCAACATTTTATTTGAATATTTATTATAGAAATAAAAGAATAATACTTTTTTAATTGTAATTATAATAATATTGGTAGTAAAAGAACACTATTTTAGATAATAAAATTCAAAACTATATTTTTTTATTTTGGCCCGCGGGCCAACCCGTAACCCGGTGGGCTAACCCACTTAAACCCGCAACCCGCATGGGTTGACCCGCGAAACCCGCGAACTAAATGGGTCAGGAATTCTCAACCCTAACCCACCAATAAATGGGTTTAAACGGGTCAGCCCGTGGGTTTCGGCCCATTTTGACGGCTCTAGCTTTAATGCTCAAATTTCACTATGTTGGTCCAATTTTACGATGTTTAACATTTTACATGTTATGCAGGGCACAATTGCACATGCATACAAGCTACTGGACTTAATCAACCTTGAAATGATATGGATAATTAAATAGATAAACATAGAATTAATCCAAGTCTATTCATTTCAAACTATTTTCTTTTGAACGAGGTGGTATGGAATGGAATGCCTAAACAAAAGGATAAACGAACATTTTTCTTCTTTTAAAATTTTGGATGTGTGCTGGATTTACCGGTGATATACAACTCAAGGGTTTCCCTTTTTATGGAGTTAATGGCGTGAAATATAAATCCAATGCTTTAATCTAGGAAAGCTTTAGGATGATTTTATTTGGACTAACATTTGTTGGTCCAGTCTAATCTGGTGTGTTTAAGTATATGTGATTTGGTTTGGTCTGAACTGGTCTGATCTGGCATGGTAAACGTTTGGTGTCTATCAATGTTATAACTATGGAAGTCTGGTCTAATTCTATAAAAGTCTGGTCTATTTTATTCTGGTTTGGGGATTGAAAATAGTCCAAGTAAAAATATTCTTATTAGAATTGCTAGGGACTAAACTTCGTATTTTTTGTTGTTCTAGATTTCAAATCTAATTGTCATCATAATTTTTTTAAAAGCTTAATTAATAATTTTAATTAGGGAGTAGAACTTGTTTCATTCTTGTCAGGGGAAGAACTTGATAAATTTGAGTTCTGTTTGACTTTGACTTTATGCTGCAAAATATTCTTATTCACCCCTACTGGACAAGGGTTTGAAATCAAGACCTGTATCACAATTTAAATGCATTCCAAACAGTATAGTCTTAAATATATGGGTGGGTTTAGGGCTTTCCCTCAGCTCACAGGCTACTTTAGCTTTGTATTATTGTTGAACTTCTAACTCTCTACCAGTTTGTAGTCAATATCAACTTCCAAATAAATAATTGTGTTGGTGTTGCTGCTTATGAGGCATATGTTGGGCATCCATATGGATATCTATACAAATTTCATGGTGATTATGAATATTGGTTCCCTTGTCATCCATACTAGTAAAAGTGGATTGATATATATGGTCCTAAAGATGCCATTTTAGGCGATTCCTTGTGGTATCTAAGTAGTAACCATAGATCGTTTAAGGTTTCTGCGGTATGGCTCTTTGAACTATTAACACTGATTTAGAATCATATGGTAAGGTTTATTGTCACTTAAAATATGAATTTCTTACATGATCTATTAACTCTCCATTTGTTCGGGTTCTGGGGTTGAGAACGGGTCCAAGGATGACTTGGGGTAGGTACTAAGGTACCCGGTTGAGGTCGTAACCTGCCTGCTAGGGTTACGCCTCTTCTTGCCCGTGGCTGAAAGAGCGTAGGGAAGGGTGGAGTTCGTGACTTCTCTGAGTTCTCTCTGTGAATAGTTTTTTAGAATTGATGATATTTATTACGTAGTATTATTGAAACAATTATAAATAGGCATCTTGCCTCTGACAAGATCAAGTCATAATCTAGCTAAAACTCTAATTGAAAATTCTAAATATCTTAGGAAACAATAAATCCAAGGAAACAATAAATAATACTACCTCCTTCCCATTAAAAGGTTCTCGTCCATTATTCATATGGTCAACTTAAATCATTTTTAATCTTTTGCTTTATATATCAAATTTACATTTTTTATCAGACTTTGTAGCGGTTTTAATGTTGTTTCTGAATATATAAATTTTAGGAAAAATTGATAGTAATAATCCCAACTATTGGCGGTCCGCTTATAATAATCCCAACTATCGATTATTTCAAAATAATCCCGACTTTAAGGACCTTCCGCCAATAATGGTCCGACGTGACCGACTATAAATAAATTCATATACGGAGTAGTTTCTAAAGTGAATGGGAAGAGATATATCAAGTAATCCTTATAAATAATCCCAACTTTTAATTTTTACGCTTAATTTCTATTAATAATCACCTATTATAGCAGGTAATATCTGGTCATGGACCATTATTGGCGGACGGTCCATATAGTTGGGATTATACAAAAATAATCAATAGTTGAGATTATCGTTAGCGGACCAGCAATAGTTGGGATTATTATTTTCAATTTTTCATAAACTTTATTTACTAAAAATAATTAGAGTGTGAAGCATCGTAAACCGTATGGGAACCTTCTAGCGGGATGGAGGGAGTAAAATATACCATCGGGATAGACCACTCATTTAATTAATGTCTCTCTGGCCCATATGCTTCCTTCTCCGATATGGAATCTCATAAAAAACATCTGTAACACCATTTTCTGTAATTTTTATGATACATCCTAAGAAAGTTCTGGGCCTCTTTCATGTCAAACTTTGGAGTTCAAATATTTTAGATGGTATATATTCATCTAAATAACACAAGATAAGTGTTGTGATGTTTTGAAATTATGCCTACTAGGTAAATATAAAAGTTATTTACATATCTTTGTACTATATCATTTATTTAAAGTAGGCTATGTTGCTAGTGCATGTGGAATTGTGGATCATAGTTATATTTGGACAATTTAAAAGTTCTGCTGATAATATGCAATTTATGTGTCATACTTTGGTTTTAGTAAGTTTGGCATCCCGTGCAATGCACGGGTGAAAGACTAGTTACCGTAAATAGGACAAAAAATGTTTGAAAATTTCAAAATAAGACTGTCATGTTTTTATTTCCAAAATAGGACTAATTACTGCCTTGTTTTGGCAATACCAGACTTTAAACATGATAGTATATTCTAAACTTGGCAATAATTACTCCTATTTTGGGAATAGAACATGAAAGTCCTATTTTGGAATTTTCAAACTTATTTACTCCTATTTCGGGAATTTTCGTTTGTTTTACTATGGAGGGATTTATCGTTTGTTCACCCCTGCTCAATTAATTACTTTTTACTCTGATGTGATATGTGGATTCATGTTAATCGATGTCAAACATTATTGTTGTTGTCTATTTCGATTGGGAGGCTTATATGTCTGCGGTAATTCGGTAAAAGTAATCCCTTACAAATTTTAGGGTAAGAACAAATTGTTGATATCACTACAAAAAAACACGGGATTGACACGGAATTTGGCACGGATTACCGACTTTTCGTGCCAAATAGCTTGATCCAAAATATTTTTGGTACGGATTTTGCATAATCCTTGCCAACATCCGTGCCAAAGTCCCTGCCAATCCCATGTTTTTTTATAGTGGATGCGCGAAGCTAAGAACAATTTTTAATCTTCTATTCCTAATCTAAACGTTATATGTGCCATAAAGCATTAACACCTCGAAACATATTGTGTGACACCAACTACTGTGTTATTTAAAATCGCATAGCGATTAGCGCATATAGTTTTAGGCAAGTCATATAATTTTATTCCCCCCAGAGAGAAAAGGATAACAAGGGATACATGCCATAAACTTTTCATTAGAAAAGGATAACAAGGGATACACGTCTGGTGGGAGACATTGATAAGGGGAGAATAGTTGAAGATACACAAGAAGAGAATATTATTGTTTTCTTTTCCCAAATAAGATAAGCTTTCTAGGTTTTTTTAGTTTTGTTGTTCAGAAATTTTTAAATTACTATACATACTTTCCACTTAGGATCAAAATAATCCCCCCACTCAAAAATTAAAGTAGAAGCTACTATATATATCATTCTATGACTTCTCTTCAAGGACTTCTATTCATACAGCTTAGAGCATCTCCAGTCGGACACCCTTAACATTAAAAAAACAATACATGTCATGCTTCTTTAACATTACGGTAAAATTTTAGTGTCCAATGCATTATGTTTACTCTCATGTGATGTTGAGTTGTAAAAAATTAATTTAGACAGTGTCTTCATGAATGTCTTCTGACGACAGTTTCCTCGACAGCCTGAGTCAGCAAACGTGAAGGAAAACTGCTAGGTTTTAGTTAGTTTTCCATTTTATTAATTTGAATTAAATATATTCTACTTACAAAGCTGATAGACATAAACGGAATGCATTGAGGAGCATTTGGCTGTTTTAGGAGTTGAAGTATTGACATTCATCCTACATGGCTAAACATTCCATACATGTATTGCCATGTGTCACAATCTTTTTAATGTTGAAAGCCTCCCATTAAAGATGCTCTTAGTTGGCTTGCACAAGATTGTACTCAAAGAGGGTTAGTATTATTTGCTAGAAACTTGCCCAAATTAGAATTCAGGATTACTAATGACACATTATTAAGAATTCAGGATTACTAATGACACATTATTATTTATTCTCATTTCAATGAATTTGTGCAAGTTTATCTCACAACTTGCAAAATCATACCACCAATTGGTGCCCAAGTTCGAATTCAGGATAACTAATGATACTTAAGTATAACAAGACTAGATATTACTTATGATTTACATTTACTGTTTAATTTACACATACTCTTTTGACATCTCACGTAATGGTTGTTAAACACATTTTTCGATATTTATTAGACACCACTAATAATGGTATTTGGTTCTAGAAGAATAAAGATGGTTTTGTTATTCTTGCATAATGTGGTGCGGATTGGACTTGTTAAAAATACCTCACACCCCCGATTTGCAAATGTTCGTGATGTTTTTCTTGAAAATAGTTTTATCTATCTTTACTTCAATAATTACCCAAAAAAATCAAAATATAGAATTATAGCTAAATATCAAGAAGTTTCCTATACTCTTGAGGACGTTCTTTATATCCGGTCACTTTATTGTTCAATTATGAAAGACAACTGCAACAAACATATATACTTTGACTCTCATGATTATTTACATTTTTTAGTAGTACTTCCATCCTGCAATTATGTTCTAACTTTTCCTTCCAACATTTCCCACAATTATATTCAAATTTCATTTGGGTAAGCTTTTTTCTTAAATACAACCTTAGACTTATCCATTTATATCTTCCACTCAACGTAATCCAAGTTCTCTCTCTCTCCTACCCACTTTCACGTTCACTACTCATCATCTTCATCACGTCTATCTCTTTCCATGAGACCCACTCTTACTATTCTTTGATCAGGAGGTGAGGGTAAATCATTTATGTTGAAGACCCCTAATCGTGTTCTAGATCTAAAAGAGTGTGCACTTATGGGATGAAAATCTCACCCGATTCACATATGAATCCCATTTGAAGTTCGATTTTGGAACATGCCAAGTGAAATTTTCCAGACCTAAAATTTTCTCTAAACCCATACGTAAACAATCAATGCCACCATTGAAAGTGTTGGGTAAACATGACTTCCAATCTCTTTTAGAATCACGAGCTCATATATATATAAGTCGTGTACACTCAATCACATACTTGTAATACAAAGACTCAATCTGACAATATAACTTTGTATTATATCACTCTACCTCACTTGCATACACTTACGAGAAGCCTTTTTAAATTGTCTCGTCTCACCGTCAAAGATGCTCTTCATTCACACATATGAAGAGACATCGTTTGGTTCTCTTCTCCCATAAGAATTCTTTCACTCTCTCTCTCTCTCTCAATGAGACTCTAACACTCTTAAGGCACTCATAGGAATGTGGAGTCTTACCCCTATTTATACTAATTTCCGTAGAGCTTCTCTAGAATTTTTTATACACCATGCACTGTACTTCGAGAGTCTTCCCAGAAGTATCCACAAGCTTCTCTAATCTTCAGGAGGATCTAGAGAACTTCACTTCTCTTCAGAATGTTGTAGAGGCTTCCCTACAATTCCACATGGTTCTAGAAAATTTCACACTTATCTAGAAAACATCACAATGTTCTAGAATCTTCTTACTCTTCCACACACTTCTAGATAATTTCACTTCTTTCTAAAAAGTTTCGTAATAGTCTAAAACATTCAATGTTCTCTACACACATATAGAGAATTCTAGACATCTCCACAATATTCTAGAATCCTCACGAACTTCTTGATTAAAGAGAAAACCAAACAAATCTCCTCCTAACGACTTAATTGAAAAGTAACAGTCAACCTCCAATAATAGCTTCACATTTCGATTCACATTTATTCTCATCCATACCCATTTTGTTGGTGGTAAAGTTGAGGACACAGTAGAATTGTATCTTGTCGAAATTGATCACCTCGATGAAATCAGGGAAACACTGAGTGATGAGGTCAACAGAGAGATTTGACTTTCCGGAGCCAGTCGCTCCCATGATCACCACCACCTTCTTCTTCTATTCCTCCCCCATCTCTTTCTTCAACCGTCGCAGGAGAACAACGCCGCCGGCGCTATATGTACGTAGTCGTCGGAGCATTCTTGACATAGTCTTTTCTAGTATAGGAATAACGGGATAAGGGCGTGTAAGCGGTTATATATGATGTTATGAAGATACAAATTAAATAACTAACTTTATAACTTGTATTAATAATTTATTCATAACATTTAAATCACGCACGTTGTAGAATGGT